TACACCTTGTTATCTTACAAATTAATCTGTTTTTAAATCCGGAAGTCTTTGTCATTAGAAGTCATAGAAAGACATTGCAGAAGGACATTGATATCCAAATTAACTCAATTAAAAATATAACTATTTTCATAAACCTCTTACAAGTAATGACACCACAGCAGGTTGCTGTTGCAAAAGCTATAGTACTGCTTCAAATAATCCAGTGCTCCCTTTGCTCTGACCTCCCAATGGAAATACATCTATTGAAGATGCACTTCTCAAAACAGTAGAAAATTGAAATCAAACTCAAATTTCATAATCAGTAATGTTTTTCCCTGCTACCGGACTTCTAACAAACACTGGTAGTTTACTGGACCTCAGCCTAGTGTTGATGAGTATTAAGTATAAAGTTAGAATTAATACCAAAAACCTTTGAAATAAAATTATTATGGATATTTAAGGTGGTTCACCATCTAAGAGGTTAAAGTATTAGGTTGGGTCTTTTTCAGATTTATTAATTAACTAGTTTCTTTTTCAGTTGCTGCTTTTATTTTTCCAGGATTGTTTACTTTTATATCACCAGTTGTCAACTGATGTTTTAAACAAAGAAAATGCCAAAATCTTTGCACTCTTAATACATTGGCAGCTATTCCTATGATTTGGTTGCTTGTAACCTTGCTTCAGCAAATGTCATCTTGTGACTGAATATACAGGGCACAGCACCGATGATACTGAATCAGTTGACAGGAGGTGCAAGATAACGAAGTGTAATTCTGCACTTATGGACCGGTGAAACCTAGCTTGATTTTACAATTAATGCAAGTTAATGAAAATCAATTTTTAGAAACAGCACTAACTCATTCCTATGGTTTCATTAATTGTGACAAACACATTTCCAATTTCATGTTACCCAATGTCTAAAGTTGATAGCTTGCAATTAATTTTGCAATAATGGTACTGGTAATGCTTATCTCATAACAATTGACATTGCTTCTAACAGGAGGTAGAGAGAATGTGGTTACTACAGCATACATATAATGTGCCAGAAGGCTTACGTATAAGTCCCACTTGCTCCCAAGGTGTGTCATAACATGTCAGAACAAGGTTGATTATAAATATCTATATGTGCCAACCTCACCTTTGGTTACTGGCTGCACAGAAAGCCTAGCCCTGGTAAACAGTGCCATGTTTTTCAGTGGACCATTCTTTGTTTTGTGTTCTTGATGGAATCGCTTCAATTCAGCAAGAGAGATGTAACGTTTCATCATCCTCACAAACTGCACATCCACCTAGAAAAGAAAGTAAATTTAGACAGTGCTGGACAACTAAGCTACATTTCTATTATTCAGTTCAGAAGAAGAGTCATATCAGACTCATCTTTAACTTTGTTTGTCTCTCCTCAGATGTTGCCAGATCTGCCGAGTTTTTCCAGCACTCTGGTTTCTATTGCATTTCTATCATGTTGTTATATTCCTCCGGCACAGGTGTTTAAATAGCACCTCTCCCCACCACAGACAACCCTTTTGTTACTTTTAGTCTGGGATTCTCTATTTATTTGGAGTCTTCATCTTGACTGAAGTAGCTGCTCACCATTCTCCCTTACAAACAATACTACCTGATAACAACTGAAATCACAAGTCAGAGCTGTGGCTCTTCCCGCACTTGACTTGTTACTTTTGTTTTGTTACAGATATAGGTACCATAAAAGATGCAACATTAGGGCCAGTCAAGGTAGTATTGGTGAGGTCAAAAAACTGGTCAACTGTCCACTTGTTCAAACAGAAAACGCTGCATCGACAGAGGCAATTAACACACACTCCAAAAATAAAGGCAGAAGAAACTTGATCAGCAGGTTTCTGCTGGAGCAATGTTTTGAAAGAATTAAACAGAATTACATCTAGTTAACAGAAATAGGCTATTTAGTCCTTGTTAGTGTTTCAGCTCCATGTGAATCTCCTCCCACACTATTCATTTAAGTCTATTAGCAAACTTTCTATTCCTTTCCACTTCTGGCAGTTTCCCCTTAAAAGCAATTACACTACTAGCCTCAGTTTCTCAATCTAATTGCTCTCTGGATAAATACGTTTCCCTTGAATTCTTCTTTAAATTTAACAAGTGGGTAAACATTCACACTATACTGGAATGGATTGAGTTTGGACTCACTTACTCTAGTGCTTGTGGCTGCAATGTCTGGTTAAGTAGTTTTTCAAACTTTATCCACAACACCAAACCAATCATTGATAACCAGCATAATGCAGCACCACCTCCAGACAGCAGTGGTTAATCAGATCTTCACTGCCACTCTACAATCACATAATTGCAGGGATTAAAAATTTTAAATAATCAGTTATATCCATGGGATATAGTCAGATAAACTGGACCAATAGTATACACAACAGAAATACTAATAACATGTCACTGTCTGGTTTAACCACTATAATCAGTTGAAATTAACAAAATCAATATTTGCAATAAAAACATCATTATAATTATTTTGCTCTCTGGGAAGAGATGCATATGAGTGAGATGAGCTTCATGATTTGTAAAGTGCCAGAACTGATTAGGTACTATGGAGTATGAATTACTATTTTGCAACAAATAAAGAAAAAACAGGAAACTCTATATAATTTACCCCAAATAAAACATAATGTTGATACATTATAATATCTCCCAATACACCCCATAAATTATTACAGTTGCTGTAATTTGTTATTCAATTAATGCAATCTTGTACAAATTGTCCTGCAGGTAATGAAAATGTCAGTCTACGAGCTCTGATTAGTCATAGTATTGCTCCAACTCATTTTATATACTGAAATCATTCATAAAATGACTGAAAGCGTTTTTAACTGCTGCAATAAAATACAAGAGAAGATTCAGTTACCATGAACCACTTTGGATTTTGCTTCGAGCTTCTGGGATCATAATGAGGATCTTTCTTGTCAAACTGTGTGTGATCAACGTAAGATTCCTTTACAATCTTTAAAGGAAAGTGAGAATTACAAATATGGAGAAGTAGTAACCACTTTAAACGCTGGAGTGATTGTTTAGAGATTCAGAACACTGAATTTAGACTTTTAAAATCACAGATTGAAAGTATTGCTGACACATTCATTTCTGCACTTGGATGAAAGCATTTGCCTATAAACAGTACAGTTTATTTTATACACCATTGGCAGACTGGATTATATAAGCCATGCTCACTACAACAATAATGTGTAACATTTTAATTATGGACCATGGAATATATTTCTGCAGCTAAGTCAAGGAGAAAAATCATTAATTAAAATTGCCTTTTCTTAACCTAGTTCGAGGATATAATAATTTGGAATTCATGACCAGAGGTGAAGTTGATACATTATGTAGATGCTGTAATAACAACATCCTCACCAAAGCTGGAAGCAATGTCACAATCGTTATACTGTTCTTATCTCATAAGTACCATTATTGCTTAAACAGGCACAAAACAATTCAAAAATCATACTGAGATAACAAGGTGCAGAGCTGGATGAACACAGCAGGCCAAGCAGCATCAGAGGAGCAGGAAGGCTGACGTTTCGGGCGTAGACCCTTCTTCAGGCTCCTCTGATGCTGCTTGGCCTGCTGTGTTCATCCAGCTCTGCACC